TATGGTAGTTACGTTTTGATAAGCCATTCCTAGTATGAAAAATAAAGAGCAACTTTAAAGTTCATTTGTAACGTTCTGTCGATCAAGGTCTTTGGGCCTTGCAAATACAACAACTACAAGCATATAAGGCCCCGATTGCTTCGTGACGCATACCGCCACCAACGGAAATAACGAAACAACAAATGACAAACAAATTGAGGAGTATGTGATGTAGGCCAAGGTCGTGCAGTATTTTAAAACTGTCAGTGAGAAACGAAGACGTCTGGCGCCTGTATCTTGGCAGCCATCGCATGCCGGTCGTGTACAGCGGGCCAGATCGCGCCGAGTTCAAGACCAGATACACAGCTGGACCCGAATATGACAACGCTAACAGTCATCGGGGTTTGTTACACCATTGGTAGGTCTACCCAGTCACGTCCTGTCGCGAACCCAGCGTAAATTATGTAATACCCATGGCGAGATTCGCAGCAGCAGGGCCGGTTTTCACGGCGGGTTCCGCGGTCCCCGTAATTGGCGATCTTGATTTCACGGCGGGCCACCGACGCCAGCCTAAGCGAACTGAGGGGGAATCGCCGTGCTTAAACGAGCATCTCACGAGGTATGGAGACCGTCAAGAAAACATAACTGATCCGTTCAAGGGCACAAGAGGCATTCCTCGGGGAACGGTCTTCAGCGTGTTTTCCATAGCAGGCAGATAGTTATTATTCATCACGGATATTTATTTGAGAAAACTATTTGCATATTAGTTGAAGTCATGCGCTAAGGGTCACCAATTCCCCCAATCACACAAGAGTGTGGTGGATATTGTATCCATGTTCAGGGGCCACCGCTGCGCAGACAGGCACAGGGGTTCAAAATACTGTATGCCATTTTAATGTCGATCAGATTTTGCTTAGTCTGTCAGTCAAAGAGTAGGCCGGTCAAGCCCCGCCTCATGTCGCAAGCGGTAGGACATCGCCGTATTCAACATAGTAGCGAATTTCCTGTTTTGGTTGACGGTCTACGTACGGCTTATATCACTCATCACCAACTAGGCAAATCCCTTAATCTGGGGCTGTGTACCCGAGGCGTAATAACCAAAAAAGCACACAGACAAAACTAAAATAAAGTTGAGCTTCAACTTGACCAATAACAATAAGTCGTTTTTGTACTTTCAATGTGGCAAAAAAGGAGGCCAAGTTGAAGCCATGACGCAGTGGTTACACACTTTGATAATTGATATTAAGAGACTGCATTTGGAGCATCAAAACGACGCTTCAGAAACATTTAGGCAACTTCATTAAGAATGTGAGTTGAACGTTAAAACACAATAACACAGATGTATTGGCATACCTATCTGACATTAATATTTTACACAAAATTCCCACGTGCAAATTTTACTTTATATCTTTACTGGAATTTATGCCTACTCTCACAGTTATGCTGGAACATAATGCCTAAACGATACTGAAAGGAACTGAAATTTTCACAAGTATAAACTGGTTACTTCAGTAATGCCGGCTTTTAATTGGCGAGGTTCAATGACTTGAACACTTGAAGCTAGAATAATGTACATGTGCATTATATCAAAAAAATGAGGAAATATTTATTTGATCGCTGGTGGCGCTATCACGTGTTTATGGTTCAATACGTCAATAGGGGATGCCAGTAATTATGAAACTAGTGTTATCGATCCACTTTTCTGGACCACAGAACCACATAGGCCTAATAGTCGTTATACCTAGCGTCACACTGTTTTTCACCATTGGGGTTGAGGTTGAATTGTGAACATGGTAAATAAAAGAAATTAGCTCTGTGTCGGGTAAGATGAGAATAAAATTTGCTTGTCATGGCCTTGTACATATTTTAGTGAAGGAAATATGTCATACGGGGTCACAGCTAACGACGCGCAGAGCATTGTGGGTAAACTTCAGCAGACTTCGCTCAAAAGCGTGCATTCCACCAAATAGTCGTATTTCTGCGCGCGAGCTCAATAATATTTTGTGATCCCACGGGGTTTTTACAATAAGACATGCCATAATCAGCAGGCATCATAGAAATATTTCTATAAATCCGAATTTGGGACAGGTAGTTTCTAGCTCGGGGTATTTCTTTCACAAAAAGCCCGAAATTGCGGGCCAATTTTGGATAGAGGGGGGAGGTTGCATTCAGTAATGAGCGCTTAGTTTTACTGCTGTTTGGGGGTATCTTCCTTGAAAGATGAATAAAAACATTTTCGTGGTTAACCCCCATGAAAAGTGATCTTTTGGCCATAATCTTGAATTTCCAGTAAAAAAACGGAGGCCAACCTCTTCACAAGAGTCAACAGGCGGCGCTATTTCGGTGCGATTTTGCACTGTTTAATTAAGTGCAACCTCAATACGTTACACGAGCGGCAGTTATCAATTCGATTTTTTTTCTCTCTTTCTTCCTCATTGCTGCACATTTTCTAACTACACTTTGTTAATTAATCTAAAATTGATCCAGATAATCAATTATTTGAAATACGTCGCCAAAAGATACGTGATCAGTGACACGCCCAATAAAGATATTTTACCGTGATTGTACCAAGGCCGTGTTTTTAACATATAAGCCGACACTTTGGCCCGTCTTAAAACATTTCCATTGGCCAACCAAAAACTTAAAATAACGCTTCGGTAGCAGGAAGTGATAACCTCCACGTGCAACCATAAGCCCCCCCCCCCCAGCGCCCTGTTCAGGTGCTGGCGACTAGCAAAAACCACATATTGCTACTAGTCGCCGTTGGTGGCGCTATGACACGTTCACGATCTGCGTGCTCAGGGTGCACTCCTACAAATAAATTCCCATAGACACAAATGATAAATCCCTTATATTTCAAAACTATTTTTAAAATACTGAAAACTCTCACTGGTGTCCAAACTGGACAGGAAAATAATGTTCGAAATATCCTCTTTCATTTTCCTTTCAATTTTATTGGGTTGATCGATGAATTTTTGAGAATTTCTAACCCGGAGCAGACCACCCCTAAAACGAAGGAAATTTCACTGCCAGGAAAAGTAGCCATTTTGAAAATACTTCCCCATGAAAACCCCCCAGAAAAAATCCCCCTAGTTTATTGAAAGAAAAGAGAGGGATGAAAGCTACCATTGGAACTGCCAGCTTGTAATTTTGAAAATATTGGACAAAACTGGGCCCTCGAAATTGCTCTATATTGTAATATAATGTAAGAATCCAATTTTACAATAGCGATGAGCTTCACGACTATCTTCAAAAGTCATCCGTTGAGCCACTAAAGTTTGAATGGAATATGCAAGATGAAAGTTGAAATTGAAAGTGATATGTGACCTCAACACCCGAGAAACCTGTATTTTTCCTAATTTTTGTTTGAAGTGGGAGTAATTACCAGTGTTTATGGCATCTTTTTACTGGTGGGCAACCCAGATAAGCCGACTAGTCGCCTACGGCAAGTTTGACGGGATACCGGTACATGTGCCTCTCGATACTCATGTCGACATTCTCAGCATCAAGAGACTGAGTTACAGACACTCAACACCGACAGACACTGTATTTTGTCGAAAAGATTTGATTTGGTTTACACATTAAGAATGATTTTATGCTCAACTTTTGTTTGAAGTTTTAAGAATTTACAGATACAGACGGAAAAAAACAGAATACAAAGGAATCATTCACAATCATCAATATAATGATTATGGAACAAGAATATTGTGGCGGTCGGGTCTGACGATA